CTGAGCCGAAGGCAGACTCTTAACCGACTGAGCCACCCAGGCTCCCCTCTTGGGTCTTTCTTATTCTTTAAAATTTCTACTCTTTTTTTTTTTAAATAAATAAATCTTTAAATTTTATTATTTTATGTTAGTCACCATAGAGTACATCATTAGTTTTTGATGTGGTGATCCACGATCCATTGTTTTCGTGTATCTTTTCTTCCCTTTTCCATGCTGTTGATTTGTTGATTTGCTAGGTCATTTATCTTATAGAACATCCCACATTCTGGATTGAGCTGATTGTGTCTTTATAGTGTTGCTTAATTTCTTCTTCAATCCCTATATTTTCTGTAAACTGTTAAAGAGATCCAGAGGCTTGATTAGTTTCAGGGTCAATTTTTTAAGACAAGGATGTGTCCAAGTTGGTCTTGTGTATTTTACATTGCATCACCTTAGGAAGCACTTAAGGCCTGGTTATCCTATTTATAGTGGTAGATCAGAGGGCCCAAGTGGTGACAGGAGGCAGAGGGGATGGGCTTTGGACCTTCTCAATCTGACCTCCAAATCCATACTTTTAGCCACAGCCCCATCCTGCAGGAAGGACAAGTGCTCCATTTTCAGACCTTGTTCTCTTCCTGAAGTCCCTGTGTCCAGCACCCACCCTTTCTCAGTACCAAAAATGCTGGGGGTCGGCTTATATTATTTAAACTAGGGAGGAAGACAGGTGCAATGCCTTCAAGTATCAAGAGGGCCTGGCATATGGCTCCTTCTCTTCTCTCCCGGCTGTAGTGGAAGTCATGAGAGGTGAGAGGGTCTGAGGAGGGTCTAGCATCTAACAAGAGTTTTCCTTGGCCCCTTCATTTCCCTTTGGCCTTAAAACCTTCAGGCTCTAGCTGTGAGTGTGTTGCATGTCAAAGAGATTGAGGACTATAACAAAATGTGAACACATTTTCAGGCTTCATGCAGTCTTTATTGTGAATTTTCCATCACCTTGGCTTGCCTCCTTCTCACACCCTCTTCAGCCATGATTTTTCTCATGTGGTGAGATAGGGTTTCCATTGGCCTCATCCATCTTGTCCCTTCCTCAAGGGACAGGGGACTTTTAGTACAATCCCACACTGAAATTGCACAGCCAAAGGTGGCTGAGGCAGTAAGAGAAAGGTGGGCATCATAGGTTCTGTCCTCTGAAGTCTCTGAAAGCCCCAAACCTGAGGGTATACCTCCACCCTGAAGGTAGGGAGAGAGCTGCACAAGAGAACTCCTGGTCAGGGTCTGGGCTCCCTGAGTCCAGGGAGCTGAGGAGTGAAGAAGGCAGAGAAACAAGAGAAGATAGAAAGGCCATCTGATGGAACATAGAGGACTCAATTGCATCTGCCTCTGGCTCATGGGTTTCTCCTCCATTCACCCAAGCTGAAGGTGTGTTCTTTCTGTCCAAGGGCCATTGGTGCTGCAGGCCTCCTAGATGTTGTGGGCCATGAAAGAGGGAGCAGTTGGGACATTTGGTTTTGCCTTTTGTGGTGGCTTTTATCTTCTGTGCCCTCCTCTCCTTCATTTGCAAGTTAATATTTGCAGAAGTTCTGGCAATTAGCAAGGCCGGGGGCCCTCACAGTGCCTTCAGGAGGGGAGGAGCTGAGGCAGCACTCACAGTCTGCTGCTTGAGGTCCCCCCACAATGAAGTGGCTGAGCTGGGGACTGAACCCATGTCCCTGGAATGCTGAGTGGCTTCCCCTATGACGCCCTCCCTCTACACAAGCTTCACTTCAGAGAAGCAAGATGGGCTTGGGTGTCACTTTCTTCAGAGCCCAGTGACTCTTCTTCCCAAGGACTTAGTTGAGAATGCAAGTTGCATTTGCTCTCTCTGTGGTCAGTATCCTGTGGGAAAGCGTCAGCTGGCTGTTCAAACTGGGAAAGAATTTTTTGTGAGGCCTCCCTTTTCTGCTCTAATTAATAAAGGCATTTGTACTGCCCAGTGGGGCCTCCTTGGTCCACATTCCTTGTTGCTGTTATGGTTGTTGATGTGGTTGGTGCTTGGGCCTTTTAAATCTAAAAATCATAGTTTCTGCAATTCCCGGAGTCACATGTGCTCATTTTGAGAATATTAGAAAAGCAGAGAAAAGCATGAAGAAGAGAAAAAAGCTTGTCCAGTCTCCCACTGCCCTGAGTCAAGCGAGGCCTTGGTGGGTTTCCTTCTGTCTTCTTGCCACCTATGCCCCTCCGGATCTTTGCCCCACACTGCTCTGTGTCCAGCACCATATTGGCAGGCCCTGTGTCCTCTCCTAGGGCTGGCTTCAGCTATGTGGGAGGCCTGCCAGAAGGAAAGAGAGTGAGGTTGAGGAATTTATGCCCCTTGGCTCTCTCTCTGCAAGATCACCTCTGCTAAAGGCCACTGCTCCTCTCAAGACCCAGGAGCCTACCAAGACACCCTCTCCCTGCAAATTCTGGTACCTACCCCCAATCTCCTTCCTTTGGGCCTAAAAGTGGTGAGGCCCCAGCCACTGTACCACTGGTTGTGCCCCCCCACACACTTTTATAAATAACCCCTCCCCAGGTCATCCTGCTGTGAATGTGCCATCTGCTTTTCTGTTGGGAACCTGATTGATTCACCTTCTGACTCATGGACATTTTGAGGCCTTTCCCTGGAAGTTACCATTGCTATGACATTTTCTGAGGTTTCTAAAGCAATATGAAGTACCTGGAATAAACTTGAGGGTCCTCAGGAGAGAAGGCATTTAATTTCCTGACTGTTGGCTGCTACCACCGCCACCCCCCCCCCCCCGACTGCCCTGGCACAGAGTAGGACGAGTGTTGTGATGTGAGGGCTTCCACACCCCCACCCTCTCCCAAACACCTCCAACTCCTGCTGCCCCTATACCTCCATTAAAGTCACTCCTTCGATCACCAGGATTTTCTCCACAAGGTTCCAGTTGGAGAGGAGGAATGGGACTGGTTTACTCATGCCGAGGCCTCAGCATGTAATGTCACCTCAGGCCCCCCCCTCCCCCCCACCCCCCCCCACCCCCGTCTGGCTGAGCCTTCTTGCCCCTCTTATCACAGTTTTGATGAGGCCTCCCCTGTGAAGCCTCTGAGTTCTCCACCCTAGCTTGGGGCCCCTCCTCAAGGCTCTTATAACAATGTCTTGTACCTCTCCCTAGGCTGTGAGACCCATGAGGGCAGAAACTGTGCCTGCTCACCCTTCCTCCTGGCACCTGCCATAACACTTGGCACATGATACACACTCCATAAATAGGCTGGATATTGCACGCTTGGGACATGCTCCAGAATCAAGTTTCTCCACTGGATCAATTTTGAAAGGACTGTTTCCAGTTGGAAGAAACTTGATTTGAGCCAGCCAGCCATTTCTTCCTTGAATATTGTACGCAGGACAATCCATTCACCTATCCCCACGCACTGATGTGATGGGCCCCTAGACAGGTGAGTTTGTTGGAGGTGGAGGTGAGCCTTTGTCAGAGACCCTTGGGGAGGTTGTTGACACAGGAGGAAGCAGAGGAACCAGGGAGCCAGAGAAAAACTATTCTTTTTTTTTTTTTTTTTTTTTAAAGATTTTATTTATTTATTTGACAGAGAGAATGAGAGAGAGAGAGCACATGAGAGGGGGGAGGGTCAGAGGGAGAAGCAGACTCCCTGCCGAGCAGAGAGCCCGATGCGGGACTCGATCCAGGGACTCCAGGATCATGACCTGAGCCGAAGGCAGTCGCTTAACCAACTGAGCCACCCAGGCGCCCCCAGAGAAAAACTATTCTATTGTTTTCCCAAGAGCCAGGTATATTTTAAAAAGGTCACTGCTGCTGACACTCATAGGAAGATAAACCTCAGAGACAATTTCAGTCTCCTGGGGTCACTTCTGAATGTATCTACCTTATTTAACATTAGCTTTTAATGTGAGGGCAGGGGAGCTCTGTGCATTAGTGAAATATTTAAAACCTCTTTTTTGGAGAAAATACTCTCTATTTGCATAAAGCCACACTGAAGGGTTTACAAGAAACAAATACAGTGGTGACTTCTAGTGTGTGGGGTGGAGGGTCCATGTAGACTGGGCAGCAGTGGGAATGAAATGTCTCAATTCTGCCTTTTAGGATTGTGTTGACTTTTGAGTCACAGGAATTTAAAATCTATTAAAAAAATAAAATTACACTTAGAAAACCTTCCCCGAGGGGAGCAATAACCTTTAGACATTTTTTTACTCCAAGCCACTTAAGTGGGGCGATAGACCTCACTCTGCACCGATTCTACCCTTTCATACTTTCCAATGGAAAAAAGATATGACTTGTTTGCAATAGTGTCACTGCACAAAGTATCACTGTACAAGTAGCTTGCGTTTTAGGGAGAGGGGTGGTGTTGCGTAAACGCTTGCTTTTGCAGTAGGGGCATCGACGATTCCTATCTGAACCACAATGTAGGCATTTCTTCCAATCTAGTTATTAGATAATTACGGGCCCCAACTACCAATGGGATGAATATGGAATCCTAAACACTGGAGAGAAGATCAGATAATCTGCAACCAACTGTAGTACATGGATAACATAGTAGCAACAACTGATGAAAGCAGTAACAGAGCTTGTGTCCTCCTAAGTGGGGGCATTCTGGCCATGCACAGTGATGCATGCCCAGCAGGAGCTTTGAAAATTGCCATCCATGTGGCATGGACGATGGGGTCTGGGATAGAATGCAGAGTAAAAGTATTCTAGTCACACACTAATTTGGATTTGCAAATTCCAAATTCAGTCATCCTTAGTGATTCACTTAATAAGTTACTGGTAAGAAGCGATGAGTTCTTCATAAACGACAGTTGGAGGATTGTGTGGCATTCACTCAGACAAGCAGAAGTAAGGACTCACATGTTTGGAGAGCAATTTGCATCCATGAGAGAATTCATGAATCCCACCAGTGGCCTTCCAGCCCACTTTGAAAATGACTATGTTAGAATTTCTGTACTGCCAAAGTCATAAAGAATTTGGACTCTGATGGAAAGGATCACTCATCCAAATCATGCTTTTTCCCAGTGGGAAGTAGCCCTTCAAATGAGGAAGGTCTCTGATGGATCAGCTTTGGCACCTGGAACAACTTTTCTAGAAGGAACTTGCTATGCGAGCTAGCTGCAAACACTCGGGAAAATCTTTTCACAAGCAGGTTATGAGGTAAGTACTGAGTAGCTCTACCCCTTCCTTACACTGAACCACAGCTAAGCTTCCCATGGCAAGGATGGTCGAGTTTTTGAGGGGATGGTTTTAGACTCCCTTGCTTCATTATGCTCTGGTCCTCTTGACCCTCTAGGATCTTCCCAGCATCTGCCTCGATTGTCCTGTCTCTCAGGTCTAACTCCACACTTGTCCTTTGGACTTGGGGACCCTCTTGGGCTTCTCCAGCTTCAACCATCTCATGCTATCATTTGCCACTGACGCCCACTTCCTACATCTGTTCACCCAACCCATCTCCAGTTGCACTTCCAGCTCCAGTAGCCCATAGGGGAGGTGGCATGTACTAAAATGAAATCCTCAAGGTTCTTAAATCCAAACACCTCTGCTCCTTGGCCTGCCATAATCAACCATCATGTATGCTTACGGGTAAGTCCATGTCCAGCCGGGTGGTATGGATCTGTACTCTCTAGGAATTGAGAATATGTGTGCATTTAGGGTTGGCAGTCAGCTGGTTAAACACTGAATTATTTCCCTATCACGTGGCACAGCCATCGTCCCGCTGCCCTGACCACCTAGACTCCTTCCCTGGAACTTGCTGGACCTTCCCCTAATCCTGCAGCTTCAGGAGCACTGCCTGGCCAACAGGGGGCGGAGGTGAGGGTAGGGCCCTAGTTGGGTACCCTGGCTGACATCCATTCTGGCTGGTCAATACCTGAGCATACTAGTTCCTATATATGTTAAATATCGACCCTGTGCAACTTAGCCAGGGGCAGGATTTCCATATTAAAAAATGAAAAAGAGAAAAAGTCAAGGGGCTGCTGTGTCAGGTACGCCCAGCCAGCAGCCTCTTCTCTTTAAGGCTGCCCCCAGAGGCGTGAGAGTTTGTTTGCAACAAGCAGATGATTTAGTAAATATTGCTTTTGCCAAATCCCCAGAGGCTCTCGAATGTTAGGTGCTAATAAAGCCCATGTTATTATTAGGCATGTGGTCTATGTAGGTCATTGCCAAACACCAGCATGATGGAGAGCAAAGAAAAGCAAAGAAAATGAGCTAAGCCCAGATAGAAGGTGGATGGGAAATGGAAACCCCTTCTCCAAACAGGAAACATGCCTAAAGTTTCTGTTGTCTTCAGAAGGTCTCGGTTTCTTCACCTGTGAAATGAGGGTCATCTGAACAACCCTCTTTGCTGGTGTCTCGAGAGTTTGGGCCAAAAACAGGCCTCTTCAGTAGAGAGTCGAGGAACCCACCAGGGAATAGTACTGGGAGATTCGGCCCCAACCTGTAGCTGTAGACTTTCAGTGGCGGCCACGTTGGATGGAGCAGTGTTTGGCTTTCCTTTTACCTACGGCCCCAGAGGGGGAGTGTGGCCATGAGCACAAGCAGGAAATAGCTCCAGGAACCCGAGCTCTGGACTGAAGGAAACAGCAGATGTGTGCGTCTGATTCTGCTTGGACACAGGCTTTTTTCAGATGCTCGCAGGAAGATGACTCGTGTCAAGCTCTCAATCGTTTGGACAAAGTTCAGGATTGTTCTTGAGGGAGACCTCTTCCTGAGCAATAAGGAACACACGCGTTTCCCAAGCATCCTGTTGGGTGGTGACGTGTCCTTCCTTCCCAAGGTGCTCAGCGCTGGATGGGTGTCCACGCGGACAGGAGAGGCAGCTGGGCGGGTCTGGGGCTGGGGGAGGGTGCTGAGATTGGGGGTGTCTGGGAATATTGCTGGGTCCCCGATTGAGTAGGATGTTCCCAGGGCTGAAGGAAGAGGGAGGACAGAAGGAGGCAGTGAATCTGCCTTTGCTGATAACAACTCTGGTGGAGGTTTCCAGATGGGGGCATCTCCTGTGAACCTGGCAAAGGATGGGAAATGTTCAAGAGAAAGAGCAGGAGGAGCTGAACTCAGGCCATGCTGCAGCGAGGGGGCACGTTGCAGGGTTTACCCGATAGCGGAGCCCAAAGTGAGCCCTGAGCATGCTCCTTTTTTTTTTTTTTAATATGAGTATAGTTGACACATAATGTTACACTAGTTTCAGGTGTACAACTTAGTGATTTGACAAGTTTATACATGATGCTATCTATGCTCACCACAAGTATAACTACCATCTGTCGCATTACATCCCTATTACAATATCACTGACTCTATTCCTTATGCTCTGCTTTTTATTCCTGTGATTTACTCATTCTGTAACTGGAGGCCTGTATCTCCCCCTCCCCTTCACCTGTTTTGCCCAACTGTCCCCCCCACCCCCCGCAACCATCAGTTTGTCCTCTGTATTTATAGTTCTGATTCTACTTTTTGTTTATCCATTTTTCTTTTAGATTCCACTTATGAGTGGAATCATATGGTATTTGTCTTTCTCAGCCTGACTTATTTCACTTAACATAATACCCTCTAGGTCCATCCATGCTGTCTCAAATGCCACAATCTCATCCTTTCTTATGGCTGCATAATATTCCTGTGTGTGTGTGTGTGTGTGTGTCACATTTTCTTTATCCATTTGTTTATTGATGAACACCTGAGTTGCTTCCATGTCTTGGCTATTGTAAATAATACTGCAGTAAACATAGGGGTGCATATATCTTTTTGAGTTAGTGTTTTCCCTGGGTAAGTACCCAATAGTGGAATTACCGGATCGTATAGTATTTCTATTTATATTTTTTTCGAGAAATCTCCATACTATTTTCCACAGCGGCTGCACCAATTTACATTCCCACCAACAGTGCACAAGGGTTCCTTTTCTCCACATCCTCACCAACACTTGTTTTCTTTTCTTTTTAAGAAAAAAGAAACCTCAGCTAATGTGTGCTCTTCTTGTTTCAAAGAACATGTGAGGTGGACTCACATCTTTAGTTTTATGTATTAAATAAACACTAGCAGCACTTACTTGGTGCCAGGCACTCTTCCAGAGTTTAATCCCCAGGACAAGCAGAGCTACTGTGATTATTCCCATTTTACAATGAAGAAACCAAGGCACAGAAGGGTGAAGTGGCTTACCCAAGGTGAGGACAGACAGGATTGGACCCAAGGCAACCTGGCTTCCAAGTATGTGCTCTTGCCCCTTGATTTTTTTTAAAAAAATAGACTTTATTTTTTAGAACAGTTTTAGGTTCACAGAAAAATTAAGATAGTACAGAAGGTTCCAATACATTCCATACCCCATTTCCGGTATTTATAAACATCTTACATCAGCTGGTACATTTGTTACAATTAATGAACTAATTTGTTTTTAAAGATTTTATTTATCTATTTGTTTGTTTGTTTATTTATTTAGAAAGCAGAGGGAGGGCCAGAGGGAGAGAGTGAATCCCAAGCAGACCCTGCACTGAGCGAGGAGCCCCATGCGGGACTCATTAATGAACTAATATTGATACATTATTAACAAAAGTCCATAGTTTATTTGGATTTCCTTGGTTTTCACCTAATGTCTCTTTCTGTTCCAGGATCCCATCCAGGACACCACATTACATTTCCCCCCCAGGCCTCCTAAAATCCTAAAATCCTAAAAATTGCATTTCCTCCTCAGGATCCTAAAATCCTCCCGGCTGTGGCACTTTCTCTGACTTCCTTGTTGTCGATGGCCTTGATGGTTCTGAGGAGTGCTGGTCAGGTGTTGGGGGCAGCATCTGATGATCTTTCTCACAATGAGACTGAGGTTCAACCCTTGGCTTTTGATAGTGACGGGGAGCTCTCGCGAGGCAGGTGTAAACCCAACAGGGACAGCTTTGTTGCTTCCGCCATTATTTGGCAGAATTACAGACCAGGTCAAATTTTTCTCTTACATCTTTGCTTCTTTTCAGAAGGAAAAGGAGACTCCTCTTTTGTAGTTGTGCCGAGTCATCTGGTTCCATTTAAAAGAAGTCATCTTAACCCAGGCTCCCTGCTGGTGAGAGGCCCTTAGTCTATGCTGGACCCCATATTTCAGGGCCACAGATTGCACTTGGGTCCTTCAGCCCTCCTGCCTGGCCTTGTTCGTCACCACTAAGACTGGGACCCTGAAGCCCAGGCCCGGTGCATGGCCGGCTGCCTCCCAGCTCCCAACACTAGGCTCTGTCTCTGCAATTGTCTCTGCTATTTCTGTGGAGGCATCTCCTCAGCCTTGATCAGGCACATCTGCCAAAGCTCCCCCAACTCCCTGCCTTCCTCTGGTGCTGTCCTGGTGGGTGGATCCCCCATCACAGGAGACAGACCACACCATCAGATGGATCCTTCCAGGCCAGCCTGGGGACACATCCATTTGGTCTTCCCAGGGAGGACTCCAGTCATAAAGATGTTTACACACCAGAGAAGTGGTTGAGATGTGGTCTTGAGATGATAAAAATACACACAACCTTTTAAAACCATGGCAACACAAGAAGCAGGAATGCTGCCAATTAAAAAGCATTTAAAATATGGCTCCAGGCTGCAGGTTTGGAAATAAAGTGGACGAGGAAAACAGATGGATGGCATTGAGGCCTGCCTTCATGCTGGCCAGTGCTGTGGCCCAGGTGAGAGCCCCAGCGCGCTCCAGGCCCGGCCCCCTATGAATATTGCTCACGAGAGAAGAAGGGGTATAGAGTAGGCACAGCTCCTTCGGTCTGGATGGGCAGGGGGCTAACAGCTCCCCACCGTTCTAGCACCACATCGAGTCACTGATCTCAATTCTCCACCTTTGGCTGCATCCACACCCTTTGCCATGTGAGTTTGCAGATCCTCCTACAGTTTCTGGAAGGGAACACTTCTCTGCCCCGAGACTTTGGGCTTGGCTGGGGATCTTAGCAGATGTGACGCATACAGCAGTGTGAAATGTGCTGGTGTGATTGGGTGTGACCTCTTGCGCCTCTGCCGTTGCCAGGAGAACATGCCCTGGCTAGCTTGCTGGTCCCTGGAGGATGAGAGCCACGTGGCACAGACCTGGCCCCAAACTGCAGCCTGGGGCCCAAGCCAGCTGACGCCAGGCAACTTCAGCCGAAACGCGGCCGACCTGCAGTGTGTGATTAGAGGCTCAGTGGTCTGCCGCCGAGCTTTCAGCCATTTGGGAGCCGCAGTGGCTGCTGGATAGACAAGTCCCCTGTGGCGCCTCCTGGACACCTACGCAGGAGGAAGATTTCTGGGACGAGGAGGCGTCATGGGAAACCCTGTCCCAGGAGCCCATTCCTTCCTCATGGAGTCGCAATGGTGATGTCACAGTCACTGGGAATCACCTCTCCCAGAAAGCGTTAGTGTGTTAGTAATACCAGTGATTAGCATTCACCTGGGGTTTTAACGGCGACATAGAACTACCACATGAGGTGGAAAGGCCAGGATTATCATGTCCATTTTGCAAAGAGAAAACAAAAAGCAGACGAGGTGGATGACTCACCAGGACTGGACCAGGAGGCAGCTGTCTGGAGGAACAATGAGATAAGGAGTTCCTTATACCCAAGGGGAAGTCACCTGTGTGTTCTAATCTTTATAACCTTTTCATTATAAAAGGGTTACATGCCAATTGCAGAAAAATAGGAAAATACAGAAAGCATAAAAAATGAAAGTTCCCATTCTACTTCATAGCATTTTGGCTTATTTCTCTTTGTTATTTTTATTTATTTTTAAAGATTTTTTTAAATTTATTTGACAGAGAGAGCACAAGCAGGGGGAACGGCAGGCAGAGGGAGAAGAAGAAGCCGGCTCCTCGCTAAACAGGGAGCCCGACACGGGGCTCGATCCCAGGACCCCAGGATCATGACCTGAGCCAAAGGCAGACGCTCATCTCTTTGTTATTTTTAATGCACATATGTTTATTATATGTATTTTATAAATTAAAATCTTACTGCATATATAAGAGCATTTCCTGCAGCATTCAAAATTCTTTTAAAAAAACAGTTTTTCATGCATAGTATTATGTTCTGTGGACTCATTCTAATTTGTTTAAGCATTCTTTATTATTGCAATGTCACTTGTTTCTGATTTTTTGTCATTAAAAACAATGTGTTGGTGAACATCCTGGCTGCTAGAGGAGATAATTTGTATGTATTTGATGTATGCATTTGTATTTGATGCACAGCACATGGTATGTGCTTAATAAATAGTATCTGGTATGAATATTTGTCTAAACCCCCAATAACTTCCTTAGAATAAACTGTTTAATCAGTTTTAACATTTAGTTCTGATGCACACTGTCAAATTGCTTTCCAGAAAGATGTCCCAGGTGCTCTTACTAATGATGGTGCTATAGGTACCCATCTCACAGGCTCCACATTGTTTTCTTTAAAACGAAGCATTGTTAATTTGACAGGTGAAAAACAGCAGTTCATTGTTATGTTCTTTATTACCACTGAGGCTAAAAATTCTCGCATAATTATCAATCATCGGTAACACGATGTGGGGAGCATTTGAGTCAGGGCCTGGCAGAATAAATCGTTTCAAATGAATGAATTATCAAAGGTGGGCCATGCTGTGGGTATGAGTAGAATTACCTGGGCTGCATGTGAAGGCCTGCAGTTGTTGAACTGTTGCTTATATAAACAGGGATTTATTCTGAGTCTTTCCTTGCTCAATTGAAAGTACTTTAATGGACAGGATTCTGTGGTAGAAGGGAGGTTTGGAAGTGTCTATCAGGGTGATTGTACCGAGAAGCAGGTGCTGGGCTTTGGAGCTGACCAACCAACCAGTGAGAAACCGATCAGGAAAAGGAGCCACTGGTAAGCAACCAGGGGGCTGGGGCTGCGAGTGGTGCCCATACTCCTCTGGTCTCCCTGCTCACAGCCCAAGCACACGCTTATGACAATGGGGTGTATTTGGGCTCTGCAGACAATTCTGCTCTCGGGGAGAAGGCAGGGATGTGGGCTGGAGCTTTCCCATCTGACTGCATCATGGTTTGATTCAGCCACTGGACAGGGTGAACGGGGTTTTAACCCTTGCCAACCTCCCATGTTTCCTTCCTCCCGGTTGGGCTGAGACCCCCTCCTCCTTCCTTCCCTCTGTGTCCTTCACCCCAACCCACCACGCTCTTGTAGTATTTACTACCCTGCCTTGTAATGTTTCATTTACAAGTCACACTCCTCTCTTTAATCCAAGCTACTTGAGGGTATTACCATCTTTGTATCTTCAGCAGCTGAGCATGAGAATGAGTGAGTGAATATCCACCCCAGGAGCATCCAGAGTGCGCCAAGGATAAACTAAGGGCTCAGAACCTATTTGGGAGAAGTAGCGAGAGTTTATTCTTTATTAATATGTTTCATCACAGAGTTCTGTTGAATTGGAGAAGTTACAACTCAGACGTTAGACTCAGTGGTTGGTTGGGGTTTTGGCATCACATATCCCTGTGCCCTGAAGGTTTCTGTTTTTGCTCTGATTTGACTTTACACTGAGAGCCAAGTCTTAACTAAGCAGAATTTTTTTTTAAACTATCTGCCCAGCTTTCCCTTAAAGCAATAGTTCTCAAACTACTCGATATCAGAATCATCAGGAGTACTTGTTAAAACACGGAAAGCTGAGCTCTACCTCTGGAGGTTTTAACTTAGCAATTCTAACAACTTCCCACTTGATGCTGATGCTGCTGGTCCAGGGACCACACTTTGAGAACCACATTAGTCTAAATGTTCTAACGTGGCCCCTGGATAAGGAGACAGATTGCCCTTCTCCCGAGTCCAAGGAGCTGGGTGCATGAAGTGTTCGGCCACCATGCCAGGGCCCTGTCTATTCACCCTCACATCAGACTTGGACTGTCTTTTCTTGGCAGCCTGCAGAGGCACACTGGGACATTCCAGCCTGTGTCCAAAGGCGACCAGGGCCTAAAAATTACAGCAGTGGGATGTGAAGCCTTATCAGGGTACCTACTAGCTTTTAGGAGAAGACTTGAAGCTTCAGGGAAGAGAACTTTACATCCTGGGAAAACTCCAAGCTCCAGGAGCCAAACACTGAACGGGAGGCAACAGCCAGGGATGTCACCTGCCCCTTCCAAAGGCCAAGGGACTCGTGGCCCTCATCTGTGAGGGTCTCTATGGACTCTCCATGCCACCTGGTCTGCACCTGCGCCCACATCCTCTTTCTTTCTTGATCTTTACAGGAGAAGGTGGGAAGGGCTAAGATATGCTTTCCCCATCACAATTCAAATAAAATCCAAACTCCTGTCCATGGCCTGCTTGGTGCTCAGACCTCATCTCCCTGCTCTGCAGCTTGTCAGCTCCACTCTGGCCCTCTGGCCCTGCTCTGTCCCTCAGACACTGAGCTTCTTCCCATCCCGGAGCTCTTCGGTCCCTCTGTCTGCTAAGGCAAGGACCCTGACGGCACACAACACTGCTGGTTCAAGCATCCCCTCTCGAGAGAGAGCTTCCTCTTCACCCTCCATAAAGCAGCCTCACCTCCCACCCTTTCCTTCTGTCCCTATCTTCCACCATCTGACACCACCTCCAGGATGGAAGCCCCATGAAGGCCAGGACTTTGTCCGCCTCTCCCAGCTCTGTCCCCAGCACCTGGACCATGCCTGGCACACCATACATATTCAGTACGGATTTATGGAATGAATGTGTGGCCTCTACCAGATATGCTATGGGAGGCAAGGTCCAGAATCCTTTAGTGATATATCCCAGACCTTGACTCTAAAGTCCAGACCCTGGCTCCAGGTCTATTTCCTAAGAGCTTATTCAGATGGGAAGGACCAGGGCCATAAATGAGGTTTCTGCCACACACACCCGCCCCGTCACTCTGGACAAAGCCCTCAACTTGTGTTGGCCCAACCTGCTCACCTGCCAAAGGGTGCAAAAGCATTTGTGTTCCCTGCCTCTAAGACCATGTCAAGGCTCAAATGAAGTAATTGCCAGGAAAGTGCTATGGCAGGAGAAAAGGGCTGACAAATTTGAGGTTTGGGGATGGTTGTACTTCCCTATGGCTTTAAAATCTGCACACAGCATTCAATTTGACATAAGCTTTTCATTCTGGCAGCTATAAATCATAAAGCATTGTTGTCTTCATAAGCATAGGAGAAGCTGATCATGGATGAAAAAATCTAAGGAGTTACATTCAAAAAAGAAATCCTGGAATTTGAGCCCCCGCTAAGAGAGTCTTACCTTGGTTATTTCTCTGCCTCGGTTTTCCTGCCCGTGAACATGTTTGCCGGCCGTCTCCCCAAGGCACCTGGACTTTCTGCTTGGCATTAGGGAACTTAAGAATGAGTTAAAGAACAGTTTGGGGTCTCCACTCCTCATCCCAGCAACAGTTGAAGATCTTATAAAGTAATTTTAGTTGACTTCAGATAAATGGCTGGATTGGAGAGATCTGTACCCCCCGTGTGGCTGAAATGGAGTCCTCCATGGTTATCTAGCCTTCCGTTTCTCACCTGGGCAGGGAATTAAAGGAGTAAAGTCTTCCTGGAGAAGACCTTGGGAGTAGGGTTGCCAAGGTTGATAAATCTGGCAAATAAAAATATAAGATGCCCAGTTTCATCTGAATTTCAGATGAGCAACAAATCAGGTTTTATTATAAGCCTATCCCATGAGCTACTTGGGACATACTTATACTAAAAAAAGTATTCACAGTTTATCTGAAGTGTGGATATAGCTATGTGCCCTTTGTTTTACCTGGCGTGCCAACCTTGAGGGCCTGTTCTGATCTTCAAGTCCTCAGTCCCAAGAATGGAGGGGCAAGGACACCGTACTTTTCCTAACCCACTTTACCCTACAAATAAGAAACACTTTGCCATCAGTCTCCACTCCAATTCCTTTTCCTTCCTTCCTGGCCCTGGCCTGTTGGTTGAGGGCACTAGGCGGATGTGACCTTAGGTAACCCATCTGCCTGGACTGCTGCTGAGATGCTGCCCCCACAGCCCCGGTCCTTGGGATCAGCAGGGCACTTACCGAAGCGCAGATGCCAGAAAAATGCTCAGGTCCTAAGACAAACCAGGGCAGGAATGTTTTATAGAGGTTGGGAGCATTTGATTCTTAGATAAAGGGCCTAGGAGACCCGGAACACTTCCCTGAATGCAGAGCAAAACTCCCGTCAGCCTATTTATTTTGGTATTACTAAACACCACCTTTATTACTAATAATATCTTGCACTCATGTTGTGCTTTTCATCCAGAGATCTCTAGGTGTGGTATTAGTATTAAGCAACACAGCCCTATGGCCCCTGGATTATGTAATTATACAGAGAACTCCCTCAGGTAGAAGGGTTAGCCCTTCATAGAACAGACCTAGATGGAAGCCAGGAATAGTTAGGTCCAAACCTGAGGTGGGAGAGGGGTGACAAACCTTCCAGCACATGTTCCCCACCCGCCCGATGACACCTAGCTTCTCAACTACAAGATCGGCACTGTCTTCTTCTTTTGTATCTCCAACATTTAGCACAATGACTGGAATAGAGCAGGGGCTCAGTAAATGTTTGCTAAGTGAATGAATGAGTGATGAGCAAACAAATTAACCTGGAAATAAGCTCAGCCTTTCTTCCCTTGCAGATCAGGTGTATAGCAGTGGCTGTTAGTCCTATGTTGCTATTCCCTCCAATCATTTTGCTGTTTCTGGGCACATGGGCTCTCCTGGCGCTTCCGCTCCCAAGCTCACCTGCATTTCTGTGTCAGAGAACAAGCCACAGGCTGCGGGAGAAGCTTTGGCTGTGCCCCATATGACCTGCTCCTGCGGCCCTTAACCAATGACTGAGGGGTAGAGGCTACCAACTCTCCAAGTCCCCCATCCCTGATGGGGACACTTAGGTGTGACCTATGCCGTGCCAACATTACCCTCCTAGGGACTTGGCTTGACATCATAGCCTTGTTTGTTCCTCTTCCCTCCCCAGGCCCATTTCCCCACCCTACAGAACATGGAGAACACCAGGAACACTTCCTAATGAGTCACTTTCACTGGAATAATGTCAGGATCTGCTTCTGGGGGACCTAGCTTAAAACCAGAACATTTTCATTTCTTGACCATAGCTCATTTTCCCCATGATGCTGACTCTTTTTCCTGCACCAGGAAGGATCTTCTAATAGAATACAACAACAGTGACCGTGACAAACACTCTTCCTATTGGAAGAGAAGCAATGGAAGATAAGGAGCTGTCAAAAGTTTACATATGCTGGGGCCAGAATATAGAATTTCGGCTTGGAATTCTCTTGAGCAAAGACAAGGAAACAAAGTAAGCTTCTAATTCTTGCACCCATAAGGATGTGGCCCTACTTATAGGCTCCCCACCTGGGGGTTCTCTTCAGACAAACCTCTGCAGGAGCCAGAGGGAAGTCCAGTGGTTCCTAGGTGACCAACACAGGGCCTTATGATTGGAGGCCAGGCAGGACCCAGATCGCCTCCCCCATTTAGATCAAGGGGGCCTTGTAGCAAAGCGGTGGTGGGTGCTGGGCTGAGGCAATGTGATGGGTTAGTGGCCATGTTTCCTTAAAAAGACATTTAAAGAGTCATTTCTCCATTCCCTGGGGATTTCTTGTCCCAAGACTTCCCATCTTTGGAGATCAAGTTCAGATGTGGAGGGGCATCCAAGGGTTTCAGGCAGAAAAAAATGGAATGGCATTTAATAACTTTCCTGACCGTACCGTAAACACAATGGCAGACGTAGGTATTCCTGAGCTCCCTGGGATTTTTAGTTTGTTATACATCACGGGGCTCTGGTGATGCTGCCTTAACCTACTTTGGAGCAAAACATTTATTATTAACATTGGTTTAACACTTCACTTTCTAGGGTATTTGTGGATGACACAGTCATACATCTGCCTTTTTATAGTGCTTCACAGCAGAGTACAAGACCTTCTGGCTGACACCTCATAGATCATCAAAATTAAGACCTCTAGGCAAACAGAGGAAAGTAGGGCGGGGGTGGGGTGGGGACAGCAACTGGGGATGACTCAAATGGTTTCCCAGTTAACTTTCCTTTCCAGAGAGAATGTTTCCATTAAGGAGCAAATTATTCTTAACATTAAGACATCCTTGTTTCCGTGGCAACCTATAATAACTTGAAAGGAATGGTCCATGGTGGCCTTGCAGCCAAGTGAT